GACTACTGAACAAGGAAGCAGAACGGTCATATGCAGCTTGTTTATAAAAAACTGAGTATCCGCCCTCTTCTCGAACGCGTCTTTCTGAACTTTCCTGAATGTTCATTGACTATCACTGGAATGTAAACGAATGCTACAACGCGATTCCGCAAATTCCGTAATAAATCTCACTTCTCAATAGTGATCGAACAGGATTTACGAGAAAACATACTACTAGCAGGTATCATAAGTAGTATCCACCGTTACAATAGTAGTGGGATAGTACCTGATTCTGGTCATATGTTTCATAAGTTCGTTGCATGCTGCTACTTTCTGAGGCATGCTAGTTCACATGTGACCAGGAGTGGAGGTGGCCTTCTGTGGGTTTGAAACCTAAACTGTCCAAATGCTAATCCGCTCATCTGCCAGGAGACCTTCGGGGAACGAAGCGAAAAATCCTCAGCCAAAAATGGTTTGCTTTTAGAATGCTATGGGAACCATGTTATCAAACATTAAAACAGATTAAAAACTCCGATCGAAAGTGGTACGTTTATTGTATTGCAAAACTTGTACCAGCCGTTTAAAAACGATTAGAGACATACAAATATCCCGAATAAATTTAAGGCTCATGCAGGCAAACGCATATGCTTGAACAGTTCAGTTATGACGCGTTTTAAACAGTTCAGGGCATCTTTAGCCGCACAGTGCTCTTAGCTGCAAAATCTTTAGAGCGTTCTAAAACTTTTTTGCGCTAAAATATTGCATTTTGTTGCGTATATGCTCAAACCAAGAAACCATCCTTATCTACATTCGCATTTTTGCAGCTCACCAGATTTTATTGTCTACTGAATAAATGACACCTCTGATAGGAAAATTCTCGTAGACTACTTTGCTAGCATCACTGGAACCGGGATGCCTAGATGAGGCTAGAAAAATTTGAGCTGGTATTCTGAACGTAATTGCCTGCCTGTTTTAGTCCATCAGGGACACGCCGTAGCTTTCGCTTATTCAATTTCATTAGGCGAATACTGAGCGCTCCAGCTGATCAAACTCTCAGCAGTCAAATTCGGCAATGAGCCAAGCTGTGTGTACTAACTAAAAGGCGCATTAAAAGGAAAAGATAACCCATGTGGAAGGATGGGGGCCTAATAGGACAAACTTCGTGAGCTTTAGGCGGCCATCTTGGGCAGGAACTGGCGTGCGCATCTAGGCTTTGGTAGATCGACAGATAATTTAGAAAGTTTGAGAATAAATTAAGCGCTACTTATATTTAGAATTCACGAGAGGCATCATTTCAGGTTATGTGTTTATGGAGGCATTGAATCAAAACATTTGATCTTCGAATACTGCTATCGGACGGTTTCTATATTCGGTTTCATTCCGTTTTGTTTATAAGAATGGAAGCTTGTTGGTCACCGATCTGTTCATAAATTGCTCCTGTCTTAAAAAATTTCCAGGCAAAAGAGTGAGGAACATTTCTGAAGAATAAGAACCGTTTGCTAGCAGTGGGAAAAATACCTCGAAACTGGTTGTGCGGTTTCATTGTTCACTGACAAAAAAGACTTTGGGGAGCAAACCTGTGTAGTGTGAATCTTTCTTGTTCTATCCTATTATTATTTTATAATTTCATTTTATTTATTTTTACTTATTTATTTATTCATTTATTTATATTATACTTGCTGAAGGGAAGAATTACGGTCAGCTGGGTTGGACTGATGCTTCTTCTGGCACTCATCTAGCAAAGCTGGATTACAGACACATTAAGTGGATTGGCTAACGGAAGCTTTTTGTGTCTGGGTGTTTTGAGAACAGCCTGTCGAAGAGTTTTCAGCAACATTGCGAGCAGACATTAGTATATTGCCATATCTTGAATTGCGAGGGGGCCTTCTGAGACATATATTGTTATTGAGAACAGTCGAAGAGTTTTCAGCAACATTGCGAGCAGACATTAGTATATTGCCATATCTTGAATTGCGAGGGGGCCTTCTGAGACATATATTGTTAAAGTGGACCATTACAAATGATAGACTTGGACAGATTCAGTTGAGTCACCCGTGGAAACCAACTTTGTGTGCAAACGAGTGTAATTATAGAAACCACTAATTTGTTTCAGAAATGAAAATGTCCACCACTACGTAACTCCGAAATTTGACGGAAATAGGGGACGTTTATAGGAAACGCTCAATTTTGCCCATGAATATGGATTTAAGGCTATCAGGAGAATGTAAGCCGCTCGAAGCTGTTTCGCATTTAATCAGGTTTTGTTTTAAGAGTTTGCTAAATGGTTCATGTTGATCACTGGATTTACTTTTGCTTATACTTTACTGACAAACTCGACTGGTCTTTTAAGTAAGTGATGGGGCCGAACCATTTCTTCACATTGAGCAAGGAGACAGCGTTTAGTGAAGTGACCGTCCAGTGCCTATCAGCATTAAAAAACAGCGCTAATTTAAATGAACTAATCATAACCTGTTACAAGGGAGAATTTTGAAGGAAATTTTTACAGCATTTTTCCACAACAAGGCACTGTCACCTTAGTTTCAATCTTCCAAGTCGAAAGCCGAACTGACCGGGGGGTTTAAGACTCCATATGCAGTAAAACACAAAATCACTAAAAAAGTTACATTTGAAGGGATGCCTTGAAAAGAAAATTTGAAAGTGAATCAAGAGAGGTACAATAAGCTTAGTAAAAAAGTGATATAAGATGTTTCCAGAAATCTACAAAAAAGCAGGAGGGATGAGCTAGGGATCACCGGCACAGTGCAGTAGCTAGTCATTCTTGCAATTTCAGCTGACTTTAACAGTAAACCCAGTAAAGTTATCGCTAGAGTAGCAGTACAGATAAATCCCTCGACGCCTTCAAGGTTCGCCTTACTTAAACACGAGGTAATTATCGTGCAGCGCATATCATAAACAAGCGATCCTAACAATCCACATCGTGATTCCAAAATGAGTAGTTGAATTTGCCCAAGTCGAATTTAGGGTTCAAACACAAAAGAACGTCTGAAAAGATTGAAAATCATTCCAAAATTATCAAATCTAAATGAGCAAAACTTGCAGCAATTTACCGAGGAGTTTTCCTCAACCCTGGATATGTTATTGTAATGAGGAAGAATAGATTTCCTCCAACTGTCTTTTAGAAAAAATAGACTACACAGAATTCTGAAACATCTTGGCTGTTTGGAGCACTTTGAGTAGAGAAAAATCAGGGCTTGTTGAGAACAATGAGGTGTGGTAATTAGGTTTATGCTACGGGCGACAAGTCGAATTATATTCATAATCTTGATTACTGGCGCCATCTTCTATTTTACCCCACTTTCAATCCAATTCTAATTTAATCGAACCAAGTGCATTCGAACAACAAACCGTATGGTATCGTACTAATTTTGATCGGCACTCACAGGAAGTCCCATGAACTTACGAGTATCTCGATCGTAATTCTGGCGCCAGCATGCTGCTGACATGCCAGTCACTGGCTGATGAACACAAGAAAATCGTGGTTCGGAATGAGGGAGTTGTGTTTCTTTTTAGAATTATTTGTGTGGGAACAATGAATAGAATTTCTGGTGACTTGTCCATAAGGGCTGCTGGTGGAAGTTTTGAATCATCGAAGGACAGTAAAAAGCATCACCGTTTGTTTTGCAAACCTAGACACTGGTTATTTTCTCCACAGACAATACATGTTGTTTCCCTCGCCAGCACGGGTCACTCTGAAACTGATGACAAAGTCAGGCTTTGTACGTGTAATAAAGAATGTTGCCACATGGTCCACATGGTTCTGTTTTGTGGTGCCTCTGGTCCTGGTGCCTTTCAAGGTAATGGAATCAGTTAATTACCAACCAAAGCTATATTTCGCCGGCCAATGATGTATCATTCCGGTGTGCATTTTGAGAGTCGTAAAATTTATCGCCAGTTAAATCGTTGATGGAAGGAGACCATGCTCTCTTTTCCGTGTGCACCGTTAGGTGTGACAAACAAGAGAAAAGCATTCAGCAAAAAACTTCTCGTGTTTGATGCCTTATTAATCGTGGTGTTTTATCAACAATTGTTGCAGTCAAAAGTGGGGATATATCGCAGCAAACAGAGTATTCCTCTCTTTCTGGTACATCATATTTCTTTGAAAAAGAGAACTGATTTGTTACGACTGAGGATATAGTAAACAAATAAACTAACCGGATGCGTTTAATTTTGTTTTGTCTCGAGAGTCACAATGAACCAGAGAAAGAATAGACAATTAACTTGGCCCCAATTTTTTAGGATAACACACTCTTTAAGAAGAGTTCCTATTGTTCTGAGGATAAAATTTGTATACAGCTGAGATCCGAATATTTCAGTACTGTGAGAACAAAATAAATGCATTCCTTCTCTTGGTAGGAACCTCCAAAGAAACGCCAACCCTGTTGCAGGAAGGGTTTTGGTGACCCGGAGGCATTCGTCTTTATCGTGTTAGCATTAGGTATACTCAACCCAAATTTTCAACATTCTATGCGGTAACTTCTATTCCCCAGTGTATCTTCACGCTCCCATTGTTCGGTTTACTATTTATAACATAGTTTGCCCTAGTCCATTTCCAGTTCAGTGAATTTCGCATTCTTGTACAAAGAAAAACAACGGTTCCAGCAGTTCTACTTTATTACAGTTTCTGTACGATTTGGTATTTCCATACGGTAATTCATATCCTTTGTGAAGTTATCAGTATACGGGACAGTCTCCTCAAATTTTGGATATCAACAAAACCGCCTTCGCAATACTCTGTTGCGTCAGCCGGACTTGCTTGCCCGGACTTCAATAAACTGAAGGTTTAGTCTAGAGTAAACGCAGCGTGTCGTCTTCTGGAACATGTTACAGTTTCATCACAAATTTACATGAAAAAGGCTGGAGAATTTGGATGAAGCAACACATGGGTGGACAATATTGATCAAGTTCTTATGAGCCAGCCTTGCCCTCTCCACTGTACGAGATCACAATGAATTACCTCAGCCTCCGGTTCTCATTCGTACTAAGGCGTGAAAAGGGATAGCTCAGTAGTAAAAGCATACATTGTTGAGCGGAAGGTCCGTGGTTCGAAACCAACCTTGGCCTGTCAACCTCACCTGTTTAGGCTTGGACAACCTGGCAGTATTGAAGTCCTCATGATTCCTGCGGGTGGCATGGTAGCTAGGCACCAAAAATGGTGTAATATCTGAGCTATTAATTTTACTAGACTTGACAGGGTCGCTTCATCATACTAATCCGGATACTAGGAGCTATTCAGGTTCCCGATGGGGGTGTCAGCGGTTACAAAATACTCAGTGCGCTCATCACACATAGATCTGCTCAACTATTGTTCGCTTAGTTCTCCTTTAACTAAACAATTTGTATTACTGTTGCTACTAAGATAAGCCATAAATACGTGAGTTCAATGAAATGACGCGGGAATAAACTGCATCAAATACTCACATAGGCGCGAGTAATAGAAGTGCTCCTGTTTTTACCAACAGATGTCGAATACTTGAAAATAGAAGCGTCACTTTTCATTGCAATGCAGCAGCTTATATGTCAACTATAACAGCTTTGAGCAACACGGTTACCTACAATAGCTCGCCACAAAAAGCTAGGTGTAAACTAGCGGCCAAAGTGCGAATTCTATCGGAGGGAGGCCCTGAAGTCAACGCGTTAGTCAAGATGTCATGCTGACTACTTCGAGTGACGTTTGGAACAAATAGCCGAGCCCATGCAACGTTGAGTGATCACCAGTGCTTACGAGTTCAGAATGAGAAGTGGTGCACGATAAATCTGGATATAACATGCCATCCGCAGAGACTAATCCTCTACATCACATGGCTGCGCCAATCTCCTGCTCTAATACCTACGAGAGAAGCTAACCTGTCGAAGACGCCTGTTGAAACAGCTTTTTCCAAGCCACGGACTGACTTGTTTGTCTTACGATTCGAAGAATGCGGATTTGTGAATCTTTACGACGGTAAAACCGATAAGCTTGATTGAAACGTACTAATGGTTCACCGCAATTTTGCATTTCTGGGGCTCATCCGGTAGTCCTCGACGTTCATTCAACCTTTGTCTTACGCTGAATGTCGTAAAATAGCGGTGAAGTTTAGCCATATTCGGATCCCACCTTCATACCACCCTAGTCCATGGTTGAAACACAGAAAACTTGTAGGTATTGCCCACATTCGCTTGGGCTATATTCATACAGGCACAGTGAGGCCAAGCAGTACCGGGTTAGGATTGTTGGATGGCATCTGACGCTTATAGAGTGACAGGCTTGTCTCAACTACTCCGGCGAATTATCTATCCATGCCATATATTTTTCAGGTATATCACCAAACCACATCCAGCTTCTTTCAGGCTTCTTCGCCGTAGCATCTTTTACCGGCATGGTCAGTCAGTTCTTGAAGTAACTATCCTTCAAACAGACGCTTTCCACCTATATGACAGCAACAGATTGAGTGAATTCCTTCACAAAACCGGCTACATTATCATCAAAAAACCAAAGAACGTTAGTGAGCAAAATTTAATGCTGGTTCTTGCGCTCAGGTTGTTGTCTTAACATCCAGGTATCTTAATCGGCTGGTCACAGCTTTCTGCAGATGGAGTTAGACTTTGCATGTCTACGCACCCCGGGTTCCTCTCACATTTGCCGTTCATTTCCAATGAGTTCACCCAAACCGGACGCCGCAACATTATTTGAATTTATCGATAAAGACCTAGACACGATCAGTCAGTTGGCCATCTATTGCCAATTCGCCCGACCACTCGATGACTTATGACACGCACGAAGATACCGTGCGCCTGAGCTTTTCAGTAATTCAAAAATAGAGTTTAGTGTTGTTTTTAAGCTTTTACTTAGCTGATCTGGAATTTATTTTTCAGTTCACAATTTGCCAATATTTGTGTCTACCTTACCGTTACATTATGATCAACATTCTGTTGTGTTTGTAACCTCGAACGCATCGGTTCACGCTCAACTGACTATTTTCCTCCCTCTCTCTCCGTATGTGTATATAAATTTCAGGCAGTGTGGTCGGCTCTTCAGAATGCTTGCGAGCTCGTCCTTGGGTGGTCTTCCCCTGATCGCTCTACATGTCAGGAACATGTGTTGTTCGACAAAATATTTCACGCACCGTGTCCTCCTGATAGCCCTGCGAATGATTAGCAAAATATGGCTGGTCAACAACAAAAAAATGGTAAGACAACATTCCTGTCGAAAGACTGAAACAGACTGATAACAATAATGGACCTAATGGGAATAGGGAAGACAGGTGATTTTCAACTAAGTATTCATCCTGTATGAGAATCCAACGTACGCTTAAAAAAGCGAGAATCAATGTACTGCTGTTTCATTTATTCATCGGAGATCGTCAGCAGTAGGCATCTCACAAAACTCCAGTAGGGATTATTGAACCCGCAATCCCCCTGTTAGTAGTTTGACCACTTAGCACTTTGGCTAGCTTCATACCCTCGAATTTATCAGGTCCTACGCAATGATAGATGGCAGTTTCCCTGTAGTACTGACAGGACTATGGGACTGTTTGGACAATTAAATAAATGTCTCATGGAAAGAACATTTTCACAGGATGAGCTATACGTCTTACGGAGAAGTCGTTACTGGAGCAGCCAGTCGATATACAGCCAAGTGATGTAGTTTCCTTGACTGGAAAATGAGTGACGTTGTGTCCTGTCCAAGTGTGAATTATTCGCAATGCTCTCGACATTCTAGGAAAGAAAACCTCCCTTAGAAATAAGCGAATCTCTACGCACTACCAAGAAATTAGTGTTTGTACAATGATCTCTGGTGCATAGACATTCTGCATCGGTTAGAGTACAACCGTGTGACGCTCATGGACTTACGGAGTGTGAACTCACTCCGCTAAATGGTTGCAGAATCACATGTACTTTTGGCGATGCCAAATGTCTGTAACTATTCAAATTGAATTACGATATCTCCGCTAAATGCAGAATCACATGTACTTTTGGCGATGCCAAATGTCTGTAACTATTCAAATTGAATTACGATATATTCCATGCCCAACTAACTCAGGTGTAAACAGAGCGGTGGCCAACCCTTGACTTGGAAGAGGAGTACGAAGGAGATCACGAAACGCTTGGGTGCTGTCGGTGCTACTCGCCTTCCAGGATGGGGACCGCGTGATCCTCACTGTGCCTGGTTGGAGACACTACAAGATATGGCTGCCAACCGATGTCAATGGCGTTCTTGTTGTCAGTTTCT